TTACTATTTTTCTTGCAAAAAAAATTAGAAATTAGTCTTTTTTCTTATTTTTGCTAAATTCCTTTAGCAGTTAAAACATTTTGTTTTGTTTTTAGTAAAATTTTTTTTTTTGAAGTGTTTTATCTTCTTCAATATAGCTACCATCTTGTTTACTAATTCATTCATCTTACAAATATTACAACATTTAGTTTACTTATTGTTAAAGGTTTAGCTAGCCAAATAAATAAATATCTATTAATTGCTAATATTACTAAAAATTTTTAAAATTTATTTCAAATAAATAATTCATGTTCATTTCTAATTTCATAAATATTCATTTTTGGCATAATTTTTAAATTAAATTTTTTTTCTTTCAAATTACAAATGTAATTTATTTTAATTTTAATAATAGATATGCATATTCATTGTTTATGAATTTAGGAACTAAATTATTTATAATTATTATTACACATAATAAGGTTTATATAAAAATAAACTAAACAAATACTACTATACAATCATTATTGTTATTAATTTTCATATTATTGTTAATTGTTATATATGTTATATAGCTGTGCTATTATTTTATCGTTGTTGTTATGTGCTGTCATATATTATTGTTATTGTTGTTATTGTTATTGTATTTTACTCTTGTTATTTGTTATTATTGTGCTGTTATCGTTTTGTTGTTACTGTTATTGTGATTATGTTATATAGTGTTATGTTGTTGCTACTGTTGTATGTTATTGTTACGGTTACGTTATATGCTGTTATTGTTGTGTTGTTTCTGTTGTTATGTGTTATTGTTATTATTATTATTATTATTGTTGTGTTACAATTGCTGTTGCATTATTATTATTGTATTTTACTGCTTTTATATGTTGTTACTTTACTGTCATGTGTTATTATTGTTGTTGTTACGATTGTTGTATTGTTTTGTCATTGTTATTGTTATTGCTATCTTGTTACGATTGTTGTATTGTTCTGTCATTGCTATTGTTATTGTTATCTTGTTATGATTGTTGTTATATTGTTGTCATTGTTATTGTTATTGTTGCGTTGTTATAATTGCTGTTATTGTATTGTTCTGTGTCATTGTTACTGTCGTTATTGTGTTATATATCATTGTTAGGATCATGTTATTGTTATTTTGTCACTGTTTATTATCATTATTTCTATTGTTTTAGTAACGCTATTATGCTAACATTTATTATTGTTATTGTTATAAATGTACAGTAAATATAGGCATAGGCATATATATATATATATATTTT